CTGCAAGCCCTCCGATAGGAAGGGGTTGGGGGTTTTATAGGGAAATACAGGATCTAACTGGTTTTGGGAGGAACCATACAAGCTCCTAGCCTTCTTTGTCAAGTCTTTAGGGTGGTACTGGGTTTCTGAAACAAAAGGGTAAGAAGGGCGGAGGGGAGGTTTGCAGAAGAGAAGGGAAAGGTTATTGTAAAAATCGAGCTTTGCTGAAGCATTAGAGCAGCCATTTTGATTTTTGTTCAACTTTATGCTTTTAAGCAGTTTCCTAATGTCTCAGAAGAATGGTTGTGATGATACAGTTATTACTTGTTTTTCCATTTACTGAAGAAGTTTTAAAACTCCCATTTAAATATAAGGAAATCTGGAGTCTTATAGAGGCATCTCTTTTAAGTACAATGGTTGTGGATTCGATGTACATCTGTATTACGTTTTATCAGATTTTGAACTGTGGAATTAAGGATTATTAAGGGGAGGGACGGAGGAAATGGCTTTTTCACTTTTTAAAAGTTTTGAAGTTCTTTCCGTTAAGGTACCACATGAGTCTGATTGGAGTGAACATGGAATATTAAAGCTTCTAAAGGAACTTCTGCTGTAATAAGTGGAAGAGTGTGTGTTGAGTTTGTGTGTTTAATCACAGGCACCCTCTTGGTCAGAAAATGTGCATCAGACTGTTAAAGGAGCACTGACACTGCTTGTTGCAGGCAGATTCATATCAAAGTGTTAATGTAAATATTCAGTGGTATTGAACCTATCAAAAAGTGATCTGTTGAGTATCTACCAAGTATAAGACCTGTATGACGTACGAAGATGAATGCCAAGACCCAGATTTTTTATACTCAAAATATTTATGATCTAGTTAGGCTCATGAGATATGTACACCGCTCTGTTGCCAGGCAGTTACATGTTAAGGGTTAAAGGTGTGGTTTAAAAAAATTGTAGGGGAATTCAAGGGAGAAAAAGATCTTCCAGCCTAGAAGTCATCATAAGGAAGATGAAATTTTTACCAAGGAAGTGTTTCTCAAATGTGTGGTTCCCAGGCAGGCAGCAACAGCCTCCTAGGAACTTGTTAGAAATGTACATTCTCAGACTCCACCTCAGAACTGCTGAATCAGAAACCCTGGGGGGTGGGCCCAGCAATCGGTTTAAAAGCATCTGAGTTTGAGCCCCACTCAGACAAGGAAGTGTTGGATCAAGGGTATGCTGACTGAAATCAGGGAGAAAGAGTGACTGGTGTATAGTGTTTGGTTAAAGGCGGCTGGCTGAATGGAAGGAACGTGAAGAAGAAGGGGTTTAGTTAGAGTTTCTTGAGCCGTGTGGTTTAGCTTCTGTTTAAGGGAATTCTTTCCCAATGCACTTTGATCCTTATTTCATCCAATTATCCTTTGTAATTATATTGTCATGTTCATCTCTTATTGTTCTGATCATTGAAGATATTTGCATCATCGAGATAAGGGATAGAATTTGTATTTTGTAAGAGAATTTAAGGCTTTGGAAAATGTAAAATATCAGAATGATTGAACAGCTTTGTGGCTAGCTATGAGGTTAAATATTTGTTCAGAATACATATTTAAAAAAAGGGTTTCACCCATGGGGGAGGGGAAGAAAAAAAAAAAAAA